AACCTTTTCTATTTCTTCGAGGTTTAGGAGATGCATTTCTAAAAAAATAAGTTACTGAAGATGTATGACGACAAAAATACAAATGGTCGTTTAGAGTCAGGGAAACGCATGTACTTCAAATAACATTTCCTTGCGCATGTTGAGATGTTTCTAGAGGAACGCTCACGTGATAATGATGCACATGTATCGCATATCCAATATTAATTTACGTTGTGTGTTCATTGGGATAGTTGTAGAAGTTATTGTGGAAAGTGAAGGAGCTTGATCACTACTTTGAGGGCTTCTTTAAATGATGGAGTATGGGACTTTTTGAATCCTTAAGCATTTCATTTTAGTCTGTGTGGGTGTTCATGTGTTTCTTATAGCACAGCCACATCGGGCTATCTGCTGTGTCCACCGAGGGGAATCGAACCACTGATTTCAGCATTGTAAATCCGAAGACTTACCGCTATCCCAGCGAGGAACACATGTTAGTCAATAATAATTCATGTCGTGTGTTTGTTTGTTGCCCGCGAACTCCTCCTACAGTATTGGAGCTAGAAGGACTAAACTTGGCAAGAGGACTCGAGGCAGCCTAATGGTCAAATGTAGCTTTATTTTTAAAGAGTTTTGTATGTAAAAATAGGATTATGTGTGTATGTGATTGCAAAGCGGAACTGTATTGTGAACACGGACTAATAGTGTGATCATGCAGAAGTGAAGCTAGCGAACATATACCAGTTAATTTTATCCCATGAACTGGACATGGCACAAAAAGGGTATGTTCATTAAAACTACCGATAATGGATAAAATTTAACGTACTATGACAAATGCAACAACAACGTAACAAGGCTTATTACTTAGGATTCAGTAAGAGTGCAAACGAAATAATAATTCCTGAGAGAGTGGAAGAGATCTAAGCTGAACCTGACCCTCACTGGTCTAGATCATGGATCAAATCCCGATGAAGATGATGATGAGCAGCTAGTAGAAGAAAACTTTGTACACGAGCTGGGGTACCAAAAGAGAATGTATAAAATCGTTTTCATTTCAGGTATGGGGCCAACTTGGGGTAGCTATAGAAGTAATTGTGGATAATGGGGCCTCTATGAATCAAAAGTTGAGCCTTTGAACCCAGCAGCGGGTACTTTATGCTATTACAAGCAATGCACGCTAACTGGGCTTATAAAATAAAATGCCCCCAAAACTTAAGTGATGGCTCGAAGAGTGTTTCATCACTCTTTTCGAAAATAAATATTTATATGGAGAGATTGTCCAATGATGTACAGCTAAAGAGCAACATTTCAAAGAAGGAAATCACAGATGTCACTTATTGAACCAGGGGAACTCATACAGTACCACAGTAACGACACAAAAGGGTTTAAAAACCACAACTCAAGGAAATCAAAGTCTACCCCTTCATCTGTAAAGTTAAGGCTCTGGTTACGAAAGAGAACTCTCCAACCAAAAAACCTTTCTGTTCAAGCCTGGCGTAACTTCTTGTTCCATTTACATGGTAATAAATAAGGTTTTGAAGCTGACGAAGGGTCTTAAGCCAAAAGTCACAATTCATAATCAACGCCTGTTTTCTTAATGAATAAAAAGACAAACAAAAGGAAGCTGAAATGACCTCAATCATGGTAAGTCAGTTACATCCAAAACCATTCCAAGAAGTTTAAATGACCTTTCGTTAAGCTAAAATAGCTGACAACATTGGATGTCAACCAATCAAACCCAACAAAATATTCGTTAAAGAAGCATATCAGTAGTGAAGATTGTAATTTCTCCGGCTTTCCTGATCGTTTCATATTTTCTTCCAAAATTTTCCATAAACTGGCTAATTTCTTGGACATTCATCTTACAAATGGAAGCTTAAACAAACCAAAAACAAGTAACTATCTTAAAACTGCATCAGGGATTGTGTGGACATAAAATCAATGTTGTTAAATGAGCTAGAATCCCACATTGAGAAGAAGGAGAGACTGGTGCGAGGGAACGAAAGAAGTATCCCGAAAACGTCTGAAAGGTACCCCTGACAATGAGAGATATAGATCAGAAGATGGTAACTGCACCACTTCTGAGGCAGTTATACTCTTCGCCCATGTGTAGTTTGTGTAATGAACAAGGGCGGAAATTGGGAGGTGTAGAGTGGCAAGGGCGCGGCGGACCGTATTCGGTAAGTCAACTACACCCAAAACCATTCAAAGAAGTTTAAATGACCTTCCGTTAAGCTAAAATAGCTGACAACATTGGATGTCAACCAATGGAACCCAAAGAAATATTCGTTAAAGAAGCATTAAATTATGGACTATTTTCAGAATAATATAAAAAGGAAGCCAAGAAAAAATTAATCACAAATTTATGCAGATGGAAACTAAAGAATTGTGGGAGATTAAATACAATACCTTTCCATGATAGAAAGTTACATCAGCACTATAAGTCCTAAAACATATCTTCTTCACACCATATAGAGAAATTTGTTTTTTTTATAGCAAAGCCACGTTAGGCTATCTGCTATGTCCACAAAGGAGGAATCGAAACCCGGATTTTAGCGTTGTAAATTCGCAAAGATACCGCTGCCCCACCGGGGGACTATATAGAAATATCGCCTTTCTTACATATACTTCAGTTGTAAGATTGACGTTTGTTTGTACGTGGTTCAATATGAATACTGTAAGTTGATTCAGGTTACCTGAAAATAAACTTGAAGTTTACTTACTACTTAGCCACCCAGTGGCACAGCGGTATGTCTGCGGACTTACAACGCTAGAAACCGGGTTTCGATACCCATGGTGGGCAGAGCACAGACAGCCCCTTGTGTAGCTGTGTGCTTAACTTCTAACAAACAACAAAATGCTTACTACTATTCTTTTACTACAATATATGAGTGAAATACATGATGGAAAATTTATATAAAACAATCTATGTTACAATTTTTAGTGTGTGTTGTTATTGCTATTAGTATTTTATTATAATCATATAGCATTTGCTATTAAAACAAAATTTACTGTTTGTTTCATGGAAGTCTCTAAAATCTCAGCGGTACGTCTGAGATCTAATGACATTAAAAATATGTGGTTAGAGCACAGTTAGCTCATTGTGTAGCTTTGCGCTTTATAACAAACAAGAATATTGTTTTGTGATTTTTAGAGATATCCAGGATTTTTGTTTTACCATTAAAGATCCCAAGACAGAGATCATAAAATAAGTTTCATGTGTTTCAAGTCTACTTTGTTTTCTTTGATGCATTATTCATAATACGGAGTTTAATCTTACAATAACATTACGTTATTTCCTAATTTTCCTGCTCTAACTATTAAGTATTCCCTGAATAATTCATGAAATAATTATTTCTAATCTATAAAGACTACTTCCTTTCTTATATCTTCTCCACTTATATAATTTCTTTCCATCTTTAATTCTAATTTTTGATTAAAATTTCCTATTTTTTAAACTTTTTTTCATAACTTACTCTTTTTCCACAAACTTTTTTCTATTTCATCTAATTTATCTTCATTTGTTTCCTCGGTGTTCGTTTTCACTTTTATCTCCTTAATCTGGCTTTTTCTCGTCGACTTTTCATATATATTTCTCTTGTTCTGGCCTCTTCCCCCCCCAAAAAAAATCTCCTTTCTTATTACTCTAAACCTACTTTTCCTTCTATGTGACTCTCCCGCCCTCTAAAATTACTCATCGAATCTTCCTTCTCATTTTCTCCTTCAACATTTTTTATTGTATTTCCTATTCATCTAATTCACTGCACTTATTAATTTTCTCTTCACGTCTCTTATCCTTCATATCATATATTTCTCTTGCACTAACTTCGCATATCTTAAACACCCCTTCCTCTCTTTCCTTTTCCATACTATCTAATCCTCTGAAAATTTTCACCACCACTTTCCCTTATTTTCGTCCACTCTCTTTCTTTTCTGTATACTGCCAATCTCCCTTTTTATCATACTTGGAAAACACGTGGGATTACAAACTTAGACAATCTATAGGTTGTAATTCTAAATGCAATCTAAGGTTATTTTCTAACCAAGATGGTTTCGTAAACATTTATCATGCCTGGCAATCAATACCTACGTTAAGGATGTGTAAGTACAGCAACCATTAAGTTAACATTGAAACGTATACGATGCAATATTGCATTTTCAATAAATGCGTGATGGATTGCACTTTAAGTTTTTTTTATAAATTTTGGTTTTACAGTTAATAAAGATTTTCTGTATTGTAAGGCGTTTGTTGATAAATATGAAAACTAGTCTTAAGCAACTTAAGACGGCCTACATGAAAACCGAAAGGGAAGACGCGTGTAAAAATGACTTCATTTACTGCAATACGAAATGAAAAATATTACAACAAATTATTTTCGTTTTAGAATTCTCTGACCCGTGAGAATTCTAAACATAATGCACAATCCCCGAATCTCATATTACATACTTACCTTTAGTAATTACACTTTCAAGATTCCTCTGTCTGTACATGAACAACTTCTTTAAATAAAGGACTGTCATTTCCTCGTACCACTTTATTCCTAAGTAGCCATTGGTAATTGACTAACGTTTTAACGCCGTATGAATAATGTGCTAATATCTTGGAACCGAGTAAGATACTCAGAGATATGGTAGTTTGGGTGTAAAACAAGGCTTAACTTTTCGATTTTGAACTATGCTAAACTGTGGTTATTTTCTGCTCCAGATTGAATTAGCATCTTCCCTTTATGTCAATTTCTTTTTCAGAAAAAAATGATCTCATCAACATTTTTGTTTAACCTACTCTCAACAAACCTGACTTACCTCTGCAGCCCATAAACTATATGTATAATCTTTCGAACTATAAAAATGTCATAAGACTTAGCCAAGAGTAAGAACTAAATCAAATAAATATATGCCCTTGTACTTGAAAAAAAAAAAAAGAAAGAAAAAAAACAAGCTTGTTCTAATGGATTTTAAGGTGTTCATATTGACTATTATGTACTTAAATCTATTATTTGAGGTTCTAACCACACTCACCTTACCTCAAAGATCAGTCTGATCTGTTTTAACGCTTTTATTAAAATTTCTATTACGTTGGCCAAAAACGGTTAATGTGCGAGACGGTTCCCGGACACTTTCCTTACGACAAAACAGAATGGTGCGAAATTTTTCCCGAAATTTCAGGCTGAAAATGCTGTAAAGTAGTGGATTACAGGCAGATGAAGCGTAGGCCATGATATTAACAAATATCAGGTAGGTCCAAGTCTCTTGAAAAGGGGTTTGGGAAAAAGTGTTGTAAAAAAGTAATACTTGATGGGGGGAGAGGCTGATGAAGTAAACGGAAACCCCAGCAATTAGCATCTTGACAACTCCACGTCTAGCATTCATGGTCACGACCAGATTGTCTCTCCTGACTACTGGCTCTACGGACTGGAACATCTCAGGTCGGAAAAGTCGTCGACCAATCCCGATGTACAGGGCAATCTGAATTAGTAAAGGGATCAAATAGAAGACTGTGAATTCCAGGTACTTAAACACCAGGAAGTTAACTCGGCTTAACTTGACAACACAAGGTTTGAAACCAGGTGCAACGGGCAGCAAAACATGGAAGATTAGATTCGGGGAGGCAAAGATCATGGCCAATGGCCAGATGACGGTTATTGATAGAATAATTCGTCCACGACAGCACAAGAGGTGAGCTCTTATTGGGTGAATGATTGCCACATATCTAAAAAGAAAAATCAAAATAATTATTTTAATTAATAATTAATTAATAACTAATATTAGTTCTGTCGAATAAAACAACAAAATAATGTTATAATATTTATTTACGGACTTCATCGTATGTCTTATAGCTGAACACATTTTGGTGAAATAGCAAGGGATTTTTCTAATGAAAACGTTTAACATGATTCTTATTCTGAGACATGCACAGAATTCGAACAGTTATGCTGTTAGAAGTATTAACGAAAGATGAAAATGTCGGAAAAATAAAAAGTTGCAGAATCCATCTTATGTATATATTGCGAACTGTGGTGTCTATTCGTGCGTTTGTCTGTCTCCCGTTTACGGCGGCCACTTCCCGCGCTGCGTTTGAAAAGCTGCGTACGCGGGCAAAGCTCAACATTCACTTTTTAAATGACAGGAGAACAGGCATGAATAATGTTGATACCGAGTCATATTTCACAAGCAGGATATTCTACACTAAATTGTTAGGAATTAATCACACCATCATTCACATTTCAAAATGTGACGTAACTCAAAGAATAAAAATGTAGATTTACCGTATGTTATTGTTGAGCGACTCTTAGCACGACTGAAATGCTCAACAATTACTTTACGCGGTGGGCAGTATAAGTAGCT